CGCCCGGCCATTTTTTGGTTGCAGCCATCATTGTTGTTTGGCGGGCCCAGGCTGGGGATTCGAACCCGCCACCTTAGGTATATGTGGCTGGCGCCTTAGCCAGTTGAGCCACAGGCGCTGAGCCTACCTCCAGATTCTTGACTAGTCACTTCATGTGCTTCTACCACAGGTAGAATATGGGGACCTGGAGAAGCCTGCCCTGCCAGGCCCCGGAGGCACACCGTCTGCCAAAGTCCAGCACCTCCTCCAGCAGGTCCTGGACAGGTTCTACCCAAGGCGCTACAGACATGGGGCCCCCCCAGAACAGCTGAGGTAGGTGGGCTATAAGGTCTGGTGGCACGGCCCTGGGGGGAGCCCTCGGAGCTGGAACGTAAACACGTTGGCACTTCACTGGCACCTTTTCTCCCCATCTGCCCAAACCAGGCACCTGGCAGACATGCTGACCACAAAGTGGGCAGCACTACAAGGCTGCTCCCCTCCTGAGTGCATCCGCATCTACCTGACCGTGGCCCGGAAATGGCCTTTCTTTGGTGCTAAGCTCTTCGCTGCTCAAGTAGGTGCAAGGGGAATAAATGGCCCACACACTCAGGAACACACTGAGTGTCTTCGAGAGCTGCATTCCCTATGCTCATGCTGTGCCAGGCCAATCTGCAGCCCTCACCTCCACAGTGGCAACGCCAGGGGTCACTCTCTACCCTTTCTCGCCTACTCCATAGTTCCAGGTTCCAAGTCCAGAGCAGAGTTTATCCTTGCTCATCAGCTTCGCTTTCCCTTTACTGACTCCTCAGTGCTACTCCTGAAAGAAAAGGCAGATCTGGCTTGGCGCCTGTGGCTCAAGTGGCTAAGGTGCCAGCCACATACACCTAAGGCGGCGGGTTCAAATATCCCTAGCCCGGGCCCGCCAAACAACAATGATGGCTGCAACCAAAAAATGGCCAGGTGTTGTGGCGGGCGCCTGTGGTCCCAGCTGCTTGGGAGGCTGAAGCAGGAGACTCGCTTGAGCCCAGGAGTTGGAGGTTGCTGTGAGCTGTGATGCCATGGCACTTTACCCAGGGGGATAGCTTGAGGCTCTGTCTCAAAAAAGAAAAAAAGAAAGTGTAACAC